TATATATTTTTTTTTTTTTTATAGGATATCTGAGAGTACCAATTTCATGATCGTCAACGCCGGCCGAGCCTGCTGGTAACGTGTTGAGATTGTACTTGTCTCTCATTAGATCACCCGGTCTGTTGCGCGTCCAGAATTTAGATGTATGATCATTGCTACCCGAGCACAAGATATGTCCCAATGGATGCCAAGCCAATGTCCAGACTATACTATCGTGCGCCTGCTCGATGGCACCTACCTCCTTATCAGCCCTGGTATATTCAGAGATATAGAAATTAACATCAGCTGAAAGAAAATGATAGCCGGAAGAGAAACGACGACACGTACCCTACATGCCAAAAGAGTATAGCGCCATCGCTACCGCCACTACAGAAGAGACCCTCATGACTTGGATGCCAAGCAACACTGGAAGCCTCCTTCTTATGGCCACGGAAAGTCTGCACTTCTTGGCTGAGATTCCTGATATCAAACAGTTTCAAGAGGTGGTCTCGCGACGCTGTCACCAACCAGTTACCGTTTTCATTCCACTTGACATCCATCACGGTCGACTTATGTGCGTGCAAGGTTGCCAGGGACTGCCCGGTCTTCGGATCCCACAGCTTCACCGGCTGCTGATTGTCCTTACTGCCGGAAATGACTAGACTCTTTTGAGGGTGCCAATGCACGCACTTGACATCCGCACCATGACCTACAAAGAAAAAACAATGAGATGCTGTGTATCAAATGCAAGTTTGTAATTATTAAAATCTTTTTGCTAATACAATAAGGTATCTAGGAAATTATATTGTTGTATCATATTGTAACTTTGTCGTTGTTAACGACAGACATGTTAAAAACAAAAGATATACGAGTAAAGGAGTAAATGGTATAAAAGTAGCAAATTTTGTATGCAACATTATAAAAAGTGGAAAGATTGTATACCTCTAAGAATGCGTTCTTCGTGGCAACGTAGAAAATCCCAAATCCTGACGGTCCCGTCGTCGCTGCAGGTCGCCAATTTGTGATCCGTTGGGCTGAAACTACCCGCCCAAAAAACAAATTATATTTGAATATTACGTTGTCGTATGTGATAAGTACGTTAATCTTTTGTTCACCGATATCCGTAACGAATAAGCGAACTATACGATTAATCAAGTGATACATGGGACATTGGAAAAAAATGAATTTTCTTTTACAAAACGCGTTTCAATGTACTCCGAAAATAATCAACCGAAATAAGAAGAGCTCAAAATTATAATTTAATGTAATACTCTAAAATGGCTAAGAAAATAGTATACAGTCATTGTCTTCTCATTCATTTTTATTGAAATTCCCATTTTACAAAATTAAATCGTTTTAGTATAACGAAGCGAGGAAGGAAGATCTGTCGAATAATTTCATATTGTAGAGAAATAAAACACATGATACATCTTACGGACATTGTTGTGACACATTGTTATAGTAAAGAGTGAAACATGGAACTGCCTACATTTATTACTGATTATTATAGTTTATTAATTACTATCACATGCAAATGTCGACGTGTAGAAGTAAAATAGAGAGCGTTAACAAATGATTGGTTCTCCTTTCGCGAGGACCTTGTAGAAAAAAGTTACTAAGATCATACACATGCGTATCTAAGCGAGAATCTGTATTGAATGTGTTTTAATTACAACACACTCTGAATTACGACACAGATATAATTCTGCAAGAGATTCTGCAATTCCATCAGAAAGTATTGCATGTATACAAGTTATAATTAAATGCATAAAAACATAAGCTGTTATGGGTTCTGTAATAAATTTGGCTTCTCTAATAATCTAGCTTCCGTTTCATGATTTTCCCGGTTGCTGGTCGAAAGCTATATATACGCGTAATGAAGCAAGAAAGGAGTCTAGCCGAGCACGCAAAGAATGATATGCGCATACGTAAGTGAACCATGTCCCCGGATTAAACTAGAACACAGCGACAAGTACAGGTCACATATCCAAATCTCATGAATGTGCTATCGAAGAATGTGCTGAGACAGAGATCAGTAATAAGAGGAATGTCTACGCGGAAATTATCAATATGTAATTTGTGTGTGTGTGTATATATATATATATATATATATATATATATATATAAATAAACAAAAAATCATCCGCGACAGTCATATCTGGCACTCAAATAAAATTCCATTGTTTGTCAAGCACAATGAGCGGACTCACAGTTCCGTTTTCATTATACTAGAATTTATTTTTGATGCCACATGACCACCGGGTGATATACCAAAAGCAATATTCGTTTTCAAAATTTAACGTTTATTGCACAAAAAAAAGAAAAGAAATATCCGAAGTGTACATGAATTGTCTTATAATTGTTTTGTCACGCTCTCTCCTTCACTCTCCCTCTCTCTCTCCCGTCAGCAAAAGGGCACAAGTGACACAAAACCAAAGACAAAATATTTTATTCTTATAGCCATGCAATAATGTGTGTAATGTCTTTATTTAACTTTATTAAAACTTAGAAGATATAAAGAAGGACACAGGATATTTCATCTTTTATTATCATTATATGGGAATCTCGACTAGGTGTGTCGCCATATATATATTTTTTTTTATTTGTTATTCTAAAACATACATCTCTTTTCCGAATAAATAATCTAGCCACATAAACTCCTTAAAAACGAGAGCCGTAAGGACCTAATAGAATTATAGTAACTTAATCAAGATTTGTGCCACTTCAATTTGATGAGCGCATTATAGATACTGTATGGACAAAGTAGTAAATCGAGTTAGGTCCCTAAGACTCTACAGATACAAATTATAAATTATGTCGTTGTGCGCATACGTGTATAATATACGCCAAAAATTTACACTACCTTGTGTACCAACTTCTACTCCACGGAAGTATACGCGACGACAAACGCATATGGGAGGAATGGCTGTGTGTTACTTTTTCAAGTTCTAACCGAAAATGTATTCTCTTTTCTCAGTAATGTATCACGAATTTATCCCAAGATTATTGCTTAAAGAAGATATGATCGGTGTGACATGTCCGAAACATTTTCTATGAGCGCGCGTGAAAGCTGTTCAAGGAAGCTCTAACCTTTTGGACTTTCATTATAATTCGGCAAAAGATAGGTATTAAAATGGGAAACTCTTTTATACGAAAGTACGATCGAGGTACGTTCAACAATTAATATTTCCAACGATTTCCCGCGAGTATTTTCAAGAATATGGTTCATTCCATGATTCATGACGAACATTATTGCGTATTGTATGCTACCCAATATTTTATAACGAGACTCGTTAAAAATCACCTGTGTACCCATACAAGTATCACTATTGCTCTGCCAGAAACGGCACAAAACCGGAAAAAGAAGAGAATAAGAATCACGTCCAGTGCCCTAACTACTGCAAAGATGGACGGATCATTGACAACAGTAGCGCAAGAGACGTAAGGACTAGTGTGGTGGATGATATACCTGAGTCCTCTAATCGCTTCTTTGTGCGCCTGAAACATCTTGACGTTGTTCATGTTGCTCTGCCAATATTTCACGTAGCCCGCGTGGTCCCCCGTTACCATCCAGCTCTCATTGTGCGACCACACCATTGTCCTTACTGGGCTGTCGTGTGCCTGAACAGAGGAATTAATTTTTCCTGACAAAAACTAAATGAAAATATGCGAGAATCGGTTGAGAGCTTTCTTTGTCTTCGGAATATCATAGAGGAAGGCAAAGGAAACATTGACAATCAAAATTCAAGATCTGAACCAATGCCTGCTATACACAAACAAAATAATTTTATCCAACGAAAGTATGACAAAACTAAAATTGCAAGATTCTGCTTCGAGATTCCTCAATACAATAAGCTATAATTCACATTGTAAAATTTTAGCTTCTGCACACAACCAAGGAAATACAATGTTTCCAACCATTTATAATATACCTGAAGAATTGTTTCAAAATTGAAGGTAAGGCCATTCCACAATGTGAACTCTCCACTCGAGGCACCCGTCACAAGACGTCTACCTTCTGGTGTCCATGCCATACAAAAAATTGGACAGCGCATTTTATTCGTGGCAGTCTTTACGAATCTTGTGGTGACTGCATTTATTGGATTATCAATGTAACTAGGTGGAGGAAGTAGATCAGGATAGTATATTACGTCTGGCTGAAGCGCACGCCGGTCTCTGTAGTCTCGTTGCCACACCCGATTCTGTAACAACACAGAGACGTTTAGACAGAATCTCATAGAGAATACCGATACAACAGATGTTTTGTGCGTGTAATATTATTATTTACTTCCAGACTTTTGATGATAGCAGAATTGTAATCGACAGTCTTTCGCATGACAGACTTGCGAAGGCGTTTCCCATCAAACTCATCTTGCAGAGTATCCTGCCCTCCAACAGGAGCTTTTGGTGGATGATATGGCCTGAACTGCTTGTAGTAAGCACGGTTCCCTTCTCTGTGATTTGAGTACCGGTGCTGATAGCTTCCCGATGTGTTTATAGTAGTCAAATTTGGTGGCGGCGCCGATAAGTTTGGAGTTGAGGGTGGTGGTACTGACATATTGGGTAAGCTCATAGCTGGGGGTGGGTTTGCAAACTGAACACTTGCAGACATTACGAGATGATGAGCATACGGATAACTTTAGTTTGTCTGGCTTAAATAGACAATAAGGGTCATACAAGCTTCATCATGTCCACAATGAGATTATAACATCGTAGAATATTATAAAACCTGTAAACAATATATATATTTTTTTGTTAGTATATTCAAGGTGCAAGGTGAATTTTTTAATTTGTCAAAATAATAATTAAGAAGTTATAACATATGTTACTCATCTCCTTAAATTTTTACTTCTAATTATCACTTATAGCACAGAGAAAAACTTTGTAAAGTAGAAGAAAGTTCTCAAAATTACTAGGACTTGATTAACATTTTTCGGACAAGTTCTGCTAAGCTCAGTTGCAAAAACATGTCTCTATTGACAAAATCTATGTAATCTTTTGTTCGAGCCACAACCATTAATGGTATAATTATACCTACAAATGAACACATCGAACAACGAACAGTTAAAAGAGGTTGGAGCGCACGTATACGTCACGATGTTCCATGAGACACGCAAGATGAATAGTTTCACCACTCCCTAAAGTTGTCGAACAAAGCGATGAAGAGATGTGCGATATCGGTCTCAGTTCATTGCCAATTTGTAAAGATCGATAATTAGGAACAACGCAACAGCCCGATCGATGTTTCAAATCTTCTCGATTCGCGAAGCACTCAATGAGAGCGTGTACACAACCACCAGTTCGGACACCACGCTTTCCCTACCAACTCGCTATTGTTGTCGTCGTCGTTCTGTGAAATTCTGCGATTCCGAATCTCTCAATGCGCGCAGTCGTTTCCGAATATATAAAACTTTTAGCGAACAAAAATAAAAAAATTATAACCAACCACTTTCGCACCTCACGCTTGTAACGTAACAGACGAACCGCGAGAACGTCGTGCACTTGCCGTGGATGCCATTATTCTTTTACGAGCGCTGACACGCATCCGTTTCGTCTGTCTCCACTTCCGCTGGCATCTGTTCCTTTTAGTTACACTGTGTTAAACCAACGGCACACGGTGCTTGTTTTTGTGCTGGATGGAAATACTCTGTTTTGATTGGTGCATTTCCATTCATCTAGAGAAATGCACTAAAGCCAGCGGCACACGATGCTTGTTTTCATGCTGGATTGCTTACTGGATGGAAATACTCTATTCTGATTGGTCCGTCTTCAGAAATACATCAATCAGAAGTTCCATCAGAATATTTCCATCCAGCAAGCAATCCAGCATGAAAACAAGCATCGTGTGCCGCTGGCTTAAATGCAATTCTGATACACTTTTTACACTTGATAATACACTTGATTTACACCCAAGCAAGAGTGAAAAGTGTATTAGAATTGCATTTACACTCGTAACACGAACGGAAAACATGACGCCATTTTTAGAACCTCTAAAGAATTAGGGTCCTCACACATGAAATGACATAACTGCATGTACATAGCATAAAACTGTATGGACCAATGAGCATCGAGTATTTAGCCGCCATATTAATGCTTGATGCTCAATACTCGATGCTCATTGGTCCATACAGTCTTATACTATGCACATGCAGTTATGTCATTTCATGTGTGAGGGCCCTTAATGTGCACTAATGGCTCCTGCATACAGGACGCGGTAATGCTTGCCACGCGGCGAAAGTTCACGTGATAGCCAATCAATATACTGCTTTCCGTAATAACCTTCTAGCTCTTACGGAAAAACAACATAATCGTCCTGTGTGCAGGAGCCATTATTGCACCAGTTCAGCAGTGCAGCTGAAAAGAACAGATCAAATGTGTCTCTTGAATGCGCCCTTTCTCTGCTGAACGCAGGCATTGCTAACCTCCGTAGTTTACACCGGTAAAAACGATGTAGTTTACAATTGCATATGACCTTTACAGTGACTGCTCTAAACTCTAGTAATTTAACTTTGTATCATTTGTATATGTAACTATATAAAATTGAAGAGTGTTATTCCTTCGCATATCCATCAACATAGTCAGCAAATCTGGATGAAACCAGGGAGAAAATGATTGCCGCCTCAGAACCGGTGGTTAGTAAACAATAAAATTTATGTTTATTTGTTTTCTAATCAAATTTAATAAAATGTAATTAAATATATTGATTTGCGCGTAAATTATTTAGTAATTGTTTTAAAGCAAAGCTTAGTGTAAAGTTTGATGTATTGATAGAATAAATATTTAAAATAAATATTTTGATATTTTATGCTTTTCTAGGAATATATTCCAGGTGGCCGACGGATAATCTCAAGGCACCCTGGATCTTTAATTAATCAACATTTATCTAATAATCGAACAACTGGTGGGGAAAATATTCTATTAAAAAGGTTCAGTGAAGTGAATATATCGGAAAAATCTCCTGTAAGCTCTTAAAATAAAAAAAAAAAAAAAATATTTGAGAAGAATAGATAAAAGATTTCTATTGATTATTTCTTTGATTAATTTTAAGCATAAATTTTGAAAGAAGTTGTTTCCTCTTATAAAATATTTTTTAATTTAACTTTTCCTTTATGCAATTTGATATCCTTAATGAAAATAATTATATTTGCACAGAAAGAAAATTGGTTGGTACGTGATAACAAAGCATGTGGAGAAGAAGAATTATATTATTCGGGTAAAGTAGCAGTTCATTGCAAAGGCAATCAGACTACTCGAATACACAAAGCAACTTATACATGTGAGACAGACATTAAGCATGCTCTGTGGTGCAAATTTCATACAAGTATACCAGATCATTTGACTAAGGGCAAAGAATACGAAGATGAAAAATCTATTGGCAAATCTGTAGAATGTGTTTGCTTACTTGACACATATACTCTTAAAGTTTTTACAGAAAGTGGTGAAGATTATGTTTCTACCTTACAATTTCAGGTAAATTTTATATAAATTAGTTAATTTTATAAACAAAGCTTGTCATATTATAAATTGAACTTGATTTTGATTACAAATGTCATTGATAATCTATTAAGAGAAAGAGATAATTGTTAATATCTCTCAAAACAAGCAATTAGTAATAGAACTATAACAGCCAATTAATTGAGAATATTTTATCACACAATTTTACAAACAAATTTACTGATTACAGGTTTCTGCTGTATGGTCAACAAAATATGGTATTATATTGGAAAAGTGCCAAGTACCAATTATAGAATCCAGGTATAGAATTTAAATTTTAAATTCTAAATTATCAATTGCTATATGAGACAAAATATAGTTACAATATATATTTTGTCTCATATAAATAGCACTACAACATCTGTGTCTGGCTCTTATAGGCTCCTTTCTTCTCTTCTTTAAATTGTTATATGTTAGAGCCGATTTTCTCTTTAACTTGTTACTGTTTATTTATTATTCTAAATTATTCGTAATAAATTTTATATGATACAGAGAAATAAGAAATCATATTACGTTCTTATGTCCTCTCTTTTTGGCTTTTGTTTTTAGATATATATCATTTGAAAGCAGTAGATTACCATCACAAAACGATAATAATTTACCAATAGCCTTTTCACTGATGCATCCATTGGATGAGATTTGTCCTCTACTTATTAAGCATGGTAAGAAATTCATTTGTAATGAGAAAAATAAATTATAAAAAATAATATATGCACATGAATAAGAATAAGAAATCAATGAAAAATATCTGTAAAATTTATAGCTTTTAAAAAAATTATACAATTGCGCTAATATTGTTTTAGGACCTGTGTCGTATATGAGTGACTCGAACCAACAAATTATATTCACTAGTTCAGAACCATCTTTGGCGGTAGTATATGACACAAAATCTGGTCTGCATTCTGTTTACAAGATCCGTAAAGCGTTAGCCGAAGAATGTCAAATAGTTTGCGGAACTAACGAGACGACGCTTAGTTTACTTAATCGTTCAACTAATGCATCACCGTTAAATGTTGGTAATAACCTATCTACCAACAAAAGTTTGATCAATAAGGGGCATCTGAGCATTTTTGGTAAGAAAATATCCGCGTATAGCTAGTATGATTGACCATAGTTGTATAAGAATGATCTACATGGAGTACATTTTGAAAAAAAAATGAAGATAAAAATTCGACACATGATTTAAAAAGTCAGATATCATTTAGGTTCGCAATTGTTCAAGAAATCAAATTTGGTCAATTTTTCTCTTTAAGAATATTTATTAACAAGCTTATTTCTTTAAAAAATGTTATGTAGAAAGATATATGGAGACTATCTGTTGGTAACAAAAATTTAATAATTATAATTTTGTGAGTTGTTGGATTATTTTGTATAATTTTGGCCAATTAACAATGAGCAGTTAGTAGATGAAATGAAACATCTTTGTCTTGCAGGAGCTGCAAATCTACAGATGAGCAACATCGGTAACATAGGTCTAGGATTATCCAATTCTCCATTCGGATCGCGCACTGCTTCTTACAATACCACTTGTTCCGGCGGACCGTCACCCTCGCAGCAACAGCAACAATCGCGCTCGCAAAGCTCGATGGCTACCATCTCTCGCTGTCAGTCACCTACACATTCGGCTCTGTCACCTTTGCTAGGAGCACCAGCCAATCCAAGTATCTACAACAGCAGATTACATCAAACCGTCATGGTGACCGCTCTGAATCAGACACAGAATAGTCCAATGGGTAGTTACAACAGTATCCAACTGAAAGATGTTGCCACAGTGGGCAAACCCTTATATCCAGAGATCTGTCTCGATCACGTATGGACCGAAAGTGCTGGCTCGTCGAAGTAAGCGATTGATCCCCTCACGTATTTCACTTCACATATATCGCGCACACTGTCAGTCTTAACCTGGTAGTAGGCCTGATTATTTTGCCACATTTGTTGTTTTTCAATTATATTCACCAATTAATATAACTTCTCATTGTATATTTTACGTAAATTCTTTTCAGTTTTCCTTTGTATAGTATAAAAAAATAGAATATGTTTTTTTCTGACGAACATGTGAAATAATATGAATATATGCATTCAGGTCCGTTTACTGACTGAAATTCACGCGCTTACTCCCGGGTTAAAGAAAGATTCGCTAGCGTTTAGATAATATGAAAAATCAATTCGAGAATTTTATCGCCATTTTACGTAGTTTTTCTGTTCACTTGGCTGGTGTTGTTTCATCCCGAGTCCAACCATGCGCATATACCTTTAACTTCCTCTTCCAGATATCCTCTATGCCTTCAATTTCTCTGGGTTTTAGGTAGGAAGTAAGTTTAAAACACATATACTGCATAATATAGGGCGTTGGAAAATTAACAAGAAATGAAAGATTAACTCCTGTAAAACTAACGACACACGACCGACGAAGATATTTTTCTTTCTTTTACACCAAACATACGAGATTTTTCAATGTTCTGTATGTTACGATACGTTCTAATTTTTTTCCATTGATTCTTTAGAGATATCATTTACGGTCGTGCATCAAAGGTTCTTCTAACGTCGGATCTTGTTGGACAGAGTTATTTGGGCTATTTGGTACCGAATCGTTCCCAGTTTTTTTTAGTGAGACTGGAAAAGACTAATAAACAACAGCGGATCATTTTTGGAATGGTGACGAGCATCACGGCTAAGGATGCTGTTAGTTTGCCGGTTAGTACATGTTGATACAGGTATATAAATTCATGCTCGTCGACTCGACATAATATATAACACACACACACACACACATATATATATAATATATAACTCGATATAATATTTATATAAAGAATGTATCTTTTTCCAGAATCTCAATATGATAGCGACTGTTGATTTATCAAATAGCATTGTATTATACACGGGAGTCACATGTGTGGGTAAATTGCATATATCTGGCATACTTTCCAATCTTGCGGGGAACAATTATTTTTTGTCAAATAGCAATCCGAAGTCTGAATCTCCATTTCCGCGAAGAAGTTCCTTGATTTCTCAGAGCTGTACTGCTTCGCATGAAATTAAATTCGACGAGGTTTTACATTTGCTGAGTCCTGTAGGCGGTAATTGTGCTCGTCCACCGATACTCTTGGAAAACTCGTTGCTGGATACAAACTTGATCACACTGAAAGAAGCAGTAGGCAATCAAATAACTGTAGAATGCGGAAACAAACAGTATTTTCGTATAACATTACCCACATCCAGCACATCGCCTTTAGGTAAATAACTATAGACGCATATAGTAAGGTTCATAAGTTTCTGGCCCGGAGTAGAAGGAAGATAAAAAGAAAGAAAACGCGGTGCTTACTGTTTTTCAATATAATCAAATAGTCAATAATTAATATTATATGTACCTTTTACAGTTACTAAATGTTTACATACATTGCGAAGTGTACTCCAAAGAGATCTAGCAATGGAATTGTTGGTCAAATGGTACGGCGCTAGAAATGCTCCGGGTCCGCAAGACTTCTCACCAGCGCGCGAATGGGATCTCTTCCTCGTGGTTTTATTCACATTATTAGGATACGATGTAGAAAAATTGCACATAATACGAAACAACGAGAAGGATCAATTTGCAGATCGCAATAGTCCCATGGTGCTACCGAAAAAGCAGAAAACCAGCAATTGCGGATCCCATGATGATTGGCTACACTTATTGAATTCAAGCGAGTACAAAAACTCTCAAGTTTCTATTTCGAATATATTGAGAAGCCAAAAAGTATCCAACTATCTGCGTACAATACCTCTAGATGAAAAATCGAACAATTTCGGCAGGATAAACGTACAAGCTGCCCTATTTCCACATCTCCCACTTGTTCTATTTTCTCTTCACCTGCTGTACGAGGAGCTAAAATTGAATAATGTCATATCGGAAAGCCTGCCGTTGCTTGGACAACTGCTGTATCAATTAAGTGCAGATTTGAAGTTTGAAATGTACACTCATCATTACTTCCTTGACTCACCCTCGTTGTGCTATCTAAGAACCGTGACATCCCAAATCAGTGACACAGACTTACAGAAAATAACGATTCCAAATTACATACCTCGGAAGCCACCGGACATGTTCGAAACGTTGGACAACATGCTCAATGGAATAGACGTAATCGCGTATCCGTACTTGAATCACGTTAATCCGAAAACGAAAAATCTAATATATATAATTGCACTGATAGCGAATGAGAATAGCATAAAGGTGATAGAAATGGAGAAGTATATCAAGTTAATCGTGCCCGCCGGAAGTCGCATTGATCCTCAGGAAAATAACAAGTCCGATAAAGATATGCTAAAAATATCGGAGAAACCCACGACAGATAAAATAATATTGCTGTATCATGAGATGGGTAAGACCACATGCTGCATGGATCATAGGAATCGTTCTTTTCTCCTGCAGAAACACTAAACTAGATAATTTAATTATAGATATGACGAAACAAGATCTCGAGTTATTACCACCTGCAGTGTCTTTGATGATACAAGACGTTATACATAGATGCAGGGAATGTCCGCCATCGAATTGGCCTATGCGCGTGTACGAACTCATAGATCGCCAAGATTTAGCTGCGTTAGATAGGCATCTGAAACCACCGAAATTACGCCACGTTGATAGCGAAACGAAGAACTGTACGATGAAGGATCCCGAGCAAGACGACGGCATGGGATTTGACGATACGGTACGCTTATTAACTATATTATTAATTACTATTAATTACACTATTGCTATGAATTTAAGTATTAATTAAGCACTTCAGTGAGCTTACCATCTTACCTAATTCACTTCGTGCATGAACGATATAACTGGTACTTTGATTTCACAGATACTAAAGTTACGATTCAGTAAGGATCATAGAGTCGCTGAAGTGCGAAGACTGCTAAATTCTTCGAAACCAGTAAGGATAGCGATAGTCCAGAGATCAAACGTAAGCGATCATGAGTTTATAGAAGAGCAAGAGAAACATCTACTTACATTGTCCACAAGAACAATGTCATTACCTGTAGCTAGAGGCATGTTCACACTGAGAACTTCTAGCCCAATAATAACGGAGCAATTGCCTATTCCACGACTGTGTTTAAATGGTATGATATACAATTTTAAGAGCATGTTCTGATGGATATTGCCGTAAATGATATTTGTCAAGGAGTCAGTCTCAGAAAAGTGAAATCGTGTGTTGTTTTGCATTTTGTCGATAAGTTCACAAGTTTTGCAGAGAAGTGATTAATTGACTGTTTTATTATTTTATTATTAACCGCTTTTATTATTTTATTAGGTAAGGCACCACCACGTGGAACTACCGTCGAATTAGCTCATATAGACATTCCCCCCAATATAAATCTATGGCCGTTATTTCACAACGGTGTAGCTGCGGGCCTGTGTATTCATCCAGATGCTGTGAACATTGATTCGACATGGATAGTGTATCATAAGCAGCAACAAGGCGAATACGGAGTAGAACATTCGGGGTTCCTATTAGGTCTTGGTTTAAATGGACACTTGAAAAACTTGGCTTCCTTAAATACATACGAGTATCTGGTCGATTGTCACGAAGCTACTAGTGTTGGACTTCTTCTGGGTTTATCAGCGACGTATCGTGGCACGATGAACGTGTCTATGACTAAGCTATTGTCGTTACACGTGGAAACGCTTCTGCCACCGACCAGTATTGAATTGAATGTACCACAGAATGTTCAAGTAGCAGCTTTATTGGGCGTTGGCCTCGTGTATCAAGGAACCGCGCACAGACACATCTCGCACGCTTTGTTATCTGAAATCGGTGATTATTGTAATGCACAACATCGTTGTAATATTGCAAACTTATGTAAACTCGCCTTCACAGGTAGACCACCAGGACCTGAAATGAAGAACTGTGTGGACCGCGAATCGTATTCCTTGGCAGCAGGATTGGCGTTAGGTTTGGTTATACTTGGTTCTGGCGGCGGAACAGACTTACCTGCGAGTATACCCGATACTTTACATTATTACATGGTCGGTGGACACGTAAGACCTTTCTCTGGAGCGCAAAAGGATAAATACAAGTCGCCTAGGTATAACGATACAGCATATTTTTGCAAAATTTATGAATGCCTGCGAGAGAGAGAGAAAGAGAGAGGGGGAGAGCGAGAGATGGGTAATTTTTCTAAATTAAAAATGGAGACATTGGTTGTTAGAGTTGAAAGTTTTGAAAAACATTTTGAGAATATTTTGACGTATGTCTTCAATAAACTAGAATCACATTGAAGCTCTTGCAAACGTCCATTTTTATTGTCACAATGTAAAATTTTCGAATAATTGTTGGTGAATAATTATAAACTTTGTTTCTTTTTTTTATAGTTATCAAATACGCGAGGGCGATTCGATAAATATCGACGTAACGAGTCCTGGAGCAACGATAGCCTTAGGATTGATGTACTTTAATACCGGAAATCGTGCAGTAGCCGAATGGATGCAGGCTCCCGACACAGAGTATCTGTTAGAATTTGTGAGGCCGGATTTTCTTCTGTTAAGAGTGCTCGCAAAGTCACTAATTTTATGGGAAGATATTCAACCCACCAAGTCGTGGGTCTCTAGTCATGTGCCTCATATAGTTTATAAGTACCGACTGCAAAAGCCCGCGCCAGAAGCCACGCAAGATGTGGATTTGGAAACTATCAAGTTGGTGAAAACATCTGATTGTTCTAAGCATTCACTACTATCTTTGACTAATTTAAATCATACAATTCATTGTTATATTACAATTTACAGCCAGGCTTATTGTAACATTATAGCTGGTGCCTGCATGGCTCTGGGACTACGATACGCGGGCACTGCTAATAAAAATGCCTTCAAGACTTTATATAATTACGCTCAAATGTTTACGGCATTGTCACATAAAACCATAGCCGAATTAGCTGGCAAATCAACTGTTGAAACATGCTTGAACGTTGTTCTGCTTTCGACTGCAGTGGTAATGGCTGGTACTGGCAACTTAGACGTAAGTCTTGATACTTAACAATCATAGCGAAAAAGACAGGGAGGAAGGAGGGAAATGTTTATTAATGTCATTTATATTTAATTCACAGGTGATGAGAATATGCAGACATATACGCACTCGCGTGGGACCTGCAAGCAGTGTTGTCACATACGGCTCTCATTTAGCAACGCACATGGCACTTGGCTTTCTTTTTCTGGGTGGAGGCAGATACAATCTTTCTAATAGTCCGTTTGCAGTAGCGGCTCTTATAATTTCGCTTTTCCCAAAATTCCCGACTCACAGCAACGACAATAGGTTCGTAACGTAACACGTACTTTACGGATATTATTAAGAAATTACTTCTTTAATATTCAGACATGTAAACTCGCTTAAAGATTATTGATCACTGTATACACTCTAATATTTTATTTTAATCGATAGATATCATTTGCAAGCATTGCGTCATTTATATGTATTAGCAGCTGAACCACGCGTTATCTTGCCGAAAGACATAGATACTGGTCAGTATTGTTACGCGACGATATATCTGACATTCGAGAGCGAGAAAGAAGCCGAAGGACAGGAAATCAGCCTGCAAGCGCCATGCCTGTTGCCGCAGTTACGTAGTTTGAGAAAAGTCGAGTTGAAAGACTCGAGATACTGGAAAATCACATTCGAGAAACATCACAACTGGCAAAAGTTAGAGAATATGCTCGAGAGACGCGATTTCTTAAGTATTAAACAGAGAGCTGGCTGTTTATCGTACCTGGAAGATCCTCATGTGTGTATTTTAAATTTCATTCAAACGAACATTTGTTAAAATTATTTTTATATTAAGGTATAGTGGTAATAGTATCACTATACCTTAATTTACATTGACATCAATATTGATAGACAGTATAATGTATGACATTTCGTTTCGTTGTAGGGATTTAGAACTTTAATGGCCCAAACATTAACTACAGAAAATGCAATTGCGTGGGCTGCACGACCAGAATATGTCACAGCGTTTACAAATGATAAAACTGTGTTGAACATAATAACACACTTTCTTCAATGGCCTAAAAAAGAAATTCGTTCCGAGAATGTAAAATGCTCGTCGCAAAATGGTATGATGCAGTTATGCTTTTGACACAATAGTCAATGGGCACGTTCAGCGGAAAAAGCGCTCAGTGAGCAATCAGCGATTATCGGTACTTATTGTTAGATCCCTAAATCTAGACCAATTACATTGACGAATTGCTCAACTGTTGTACAACTGTTGAATTCGCTGAACGCACCCAATAAGTCTCAGTTTTATTATTTAACAAATGACATTCTATCTGCCACTATAAAACTTATAGATATACAATGCAGAATGGCAGAATTTGAACGATATTTTCTTCATATATTCGCAATAATCCTATACGAATGCATCACCAAAGACAAAGTGAGTCTCATACCATTATGGTTGCACATAATGAAAAACTTGAGGGCGATCGAGGAGCAGCCAAATAGTTTTTCAATGTGGCAAATTAAACTTGTTTCGTCACAAGTCTCGAAAATATTAAATTCCACGGATAAGGCAAATCCGCTACTCAGTGTGGAAAGTATGCTCGCAATTAAACAAAAAACTACGGTTATATTGGACAAATGGGAGCATGGTACTTATCATTTATTTATACATTACATATTAAAGAATAATTATTTTTTTTTGCACTGATGGAACTTGTTTATATTTCTTTTCTCAGATTTGAAGCCTTTGCTCAAACAGTATCTCGTCAATGGGATAATACAGGCTGATGCTGAATCTCTAGCCAAAATGTGTGCTTATTTTATATTCTACCGTATTCCGTATCCAATTGATGATAAGATTTGTAAGTTTTTGTATTTATTGAAATCTATTGTTATTTAATCATTTTTACTAATTTGTTCTTTATTCTCTGTTATTTTTAGTGACCTCAATTTTACGGGTAAAACCCTCTAGTATACCAAACATTACATTGTACAAATTGCGTGATATTGTACAATCAACTTGAAAATATTGCATTATATAAATCTGTGTATGTATATATCACAAAATGAATAAAAACAAGGTAATTATACAGTTTACATTCCTCACCTTCGATTTTGACGAAAAATACTCAGTCGACGCGTTTTTTTTTAAAGGCAAATAACTTTTTTATTTGGAAAAATCATCGCTCTCTACTGCGAAGCGAGATATTAATTAACAAAGTTGGTCACTATTGGCTGCGTTCAGAAACCCTACTCGGTGAGTAGAGTAACATTTAATTAGCCAATCAGGGCAAAAAGAATTAAGATTTATTTATCCTGATTGGTTTATTAAAGTAACTCTACCCATCGAGTAGGATTTCTGAACATAGCTATTGAGGTTAGCAAAACTCTCTCTCTCTCTCTCTCTCTCTCTCTCTCTCTCTCTCTCACTCACTCACAGTATTAGTTCCAGGAATCCTGCGATTTTCCCCCAACACCATTCCAACTTAGCAAAACCAGAGAACCTCTAGTATATAGAATCGCCAACTTAATTATGTAACCAACTACTCAGCTACTCTGTGATTGGCTGGCATAAACATGTATGGATTTGGATATTGCGACGCCGATGCAAAACCATATGTACATATACAGGGTGAGCCATTTTAATCGACGGATCCAAATTGCTCT